GTTGTGCACGTAGAGAGATGAGAATCTCACTCTATCCTGTTGGCAAACTGGGCTTTGTAGCCGCGCTTATTAGCCGGCGGATTTTGCTCTGTAAAATTCCGTCCCAAGCTGCTTTGGGCTTAATACGCGGCTGGGCCTATTAACCGTGGGCTTAATAACCGGCGCTGGGCTTAATACGCGGCTGGGCTTATTAACCGTGGGCTTAATAACCGGCGACCTACTCTAATAGCTAAAAGCTCGGACACATGTTTTGCCGATATCCTGCCGCTGCGTGGCACAGCTATGACGGGTTCGGGTCTTATTTTAAAGATTTTGATATAAGCGTCGAACACAATCTACATTTGTGTATCAGATTTTTTACGCTGAGTTACGAATTGTATTTAAACACCTTTAAGAGTAGTAAATTATTCGGGATGCAAGAATCGGGAAATAATGCAGGCATCTTGAAAAGCCTGAATAAATTTTTTTAATTGCCATTTTTAAAAATTTTAACTGACTGTCAGGTTGTAAAAATCCCAGCAGTCTTTGTGCGGTCTTGACTCATACGGAAGTTTTCATCACTGTATGGTAATTTTAACACAGCTATCACAAAAAATTGTTGAATTTCGCCTAATCTTAGACAGTCGGCATCGAAAAGAATAGAATTTTTTCCTAGGAAAGGTCCTAAGAAGCTGGGTTCTGGCAGTTCCTTCTAAAAGGCTTTCTTGGCCTTATGTAGTCTTGAAAAGGGAAAAAAACTTTCGTATAAACTGAGAAAAAAACTTTGTTTGTAATTAGTAGGGAATGAGGTCAGTAGTCGTGACCGAAAAGAAGCCCTTACACCACGGCAAACAGGCCAAACTTTTTCTTAAAGAATTCTTTAATTTTGAGGCCTTTTTCCTCTAATACTGAAGAAACGACCGGGCAGTTCTCCTCTGGCGGCTTTTATCCCTAAGAACCTGCCGGCCACGCTTTTTGTACTTTTGTTCTACTTTGATTGCTTGTTTCCCTGCGAACGCTCTGTGCTCGGATTTCAGCCAAAAAAGCGATTTAATGGCAATTTGCAATCTGAAACTAAGATAAACAAGTAAATAGGCAGAAGAAGATGTGATTTCTGAAAAAAAACTTTTATTCGGCGAACGCTTCGAAATCCGTCGTGGATCCTCCCTCAGAGACAATAGAGGAAGCTGATGCACAGGGAGTTGGAGTATTTATAGGATACAGTCACTAGGCTACTACAGCCTTACGATAATTAACGACTCCCCCGTTGACGATAACTACCCGCTTATGGGCTAATTGCTTGATGATCGGCCGTGACCTGCTGAACTTTCATCACATGTGGTTGAATTGGACATGATATTGCTCGTCCACCTGGCTTCCTGGAGCCGGCGTTAGACCATGCGTTGGCCTGTGCGTTCTCCAAGTGGCGACTTGCTTTGCCCGAGCAATCATCACGCCCACTTCCACCCTGTGTGATTAAAGTTCAGCAGGGCACGGCTCGCACACCGGCCATCAAGCAAATAGCGCAAAAGCGGACAATTATCCTCCATAGGGTAGTCGTTAATTGTCATACAAGTGCAGTAGCATAGTGACTGTATTCCAAAAATACTTAAACTCTCTGTGTATTAATTACCCGTTTCTGTTCTTGTTTCCGATAAGGAATCCGCGACGGATTTCGAAACGTCAGCCGATAAAAGTTTTGTTCCGGCGGTCATACCTCCTTTTTCTCAAATACTTTCTAGGGCTCACCTGTTCGCTCGTAAACCTGTAAATGCCACTCCCGCGCCGTCTGCCATCCAGGTAGGTATTTTAGCGGAGTCAACGCATTTCTGCATCACTTTTGAAGGTACTCCTGCGGCCAAGAAAATCAACAGCCTCGTTTACTGTAGGGGCGCTAGCCTCCCGGCGGGGTTTTCGGCGACTAAAAATTGTGTATGCACCAGAATGCTTTTGACCAGAAATTACTCCATTCACTTTTGTAGGTTGACAGCAGGCAATCCGCAATAGGTCTCTGATGAGGGTGTTTAACTGAACGCAAACGGTCTAAAATGTATTCAATAGAGTGGACGTCCGAAAAGAGATTGCTTTAAATTTTTTCAAATTTGCCCTCGAAAGTTCTTACAGCTTCTTTTGCACTTAAGAATTCGGTTAAGTCGTGGTCTAGTGTGAGTCATGCTCCAAATGTTCATTCTTCTGAATACCAATTTCTCGCATATTCTACCCTTTACTGTTATACATATTTCAAAAAATACGCGGCTGGGTAAGGCTGAGGTCGTGAAGAAAGCAACATTCACCCGTCTTTACAAAGTCCACTACTGTTGAAGTGTACTATTTACCTGAGATTTTTAGCTTCTAGGCTGTCTTTAAGCATGGAAAAGGCTGAGAAAAAAAAGTAAATTCATTGTTTTGTTGCTTTTATGTCTTTTTAGGCCTCGTGACATTCTCTGTTGCCTTCGGCCTCTGTATTGCTACAATGGGCCCGTCCGCTCGGCTTATGTTGGATTTCTTCATCATCATGAACGAGATCATCATGCGTTTGGTCCGACTCATCATGTGGTCAGTGCAGTTTCCTAACGACTCCCTTTCATTTTGGTGTCCACTGGTGCACTTTTCTGTCTACAAGCCTCTTAATTTGTATATTAAATTGATCGGATATGACTGGCCGAGAACGGCTAATAAGCCAGAAATGGCCATTGCGGTTTCTCTTGTCTTTGTCGGTTCTACTCTATCATATGTTAGACGTTGCTATGTGACCGCTTGCGATTGCTCTAGATTGAGCTTCCAGGCACAATGGGAAGAGTATGCTTCGCAACCAAATAGATCGATGAGCACCCAATTGAGTTTGGTCAAATTAATTATTCAAATTTGCCATATTTACCCCTACCAATAAGGTGTGCCTGATAGCTATCCGGTGGAA